TGGTCATGTCATGAACATCATAGGGTACACTTACACAAACCTGGATGGTATAGCCTACTCCACACCTAGGCTGTACAGTATAGCCTACTGCTCCCAGGCTACAGCATGTCACTGTACAAAAGAGCACGAGAAAACGATGGAATCAAGGGACGTGGTATACACAGCATGGATGAGGCTGCTGACAGTGTATCACCATGTACTGTTGTACAGCACATTTTTTTTTTTAATAAGTAGAAAGAGTACACCTTAAAAGAATGACAAAAATTATAGTATGATAAATACATAAACCAGTAACAAAGTTATTTATTATCAAGTATTATGTACTGTACGTAATTGTATGGGCTATACTTTTATAGAATAGGCAGTGCAGTAGGTTTGTTTACAGCAGCATCACCACCAACACCTGAGTAATGTGTTGCTCTATGGCCTTATGACAGCTGTGACATCACTAGGCAACAGGAATTTTCCAGATCCTTTATAAGCTTATGAAACCACCATCGTATATGCAATCAGTCACTGACCAAAAGGTTGCTGCGTGGCACATGACTATATGATTTATTCATTTACTTGCTGTCAGTCCCCATCAGACTATAGAATATAGTGAGCTCATAAGAATAGGGGCTTTGTTCACTATAATATCCCTAGCACCTAATGTCTGGCACATGGTAAATACTCATTATTTTGTTGAATGAACAAATGAATCCCCTCAGTTCATCTGAACGCCCTTCACATGTCTTTATTACCTAGTACCTGGCCCCTAGTTGGTCCTCAGGAAGATATGATAATCATGTTGGGGATATACAGAAATCTGGGCTCTCTGTAGTCCCTGCCCTTACCATAAGAAGGGGTCTTACTGTAGATGTTCACCCACCATTCCCCTTTTAGTACACAAGATGCCACAAAGTGAACTCTACTCAGCCACAGAAGTGCCTGGATAGACCACAAGCTAGATAAACTGAGATCAACACTGAACTTATATGCAGACTACAGTCAAGTCATGGTATGACTGGAAAACCCCAGGCTAGAAATCTAACAAACCAAATACAATGCCTAAAATTTTTGCCATTATTGCTCAGTAACTTCAGATTCATCCAAGCATACATGTGAGAGCCAGAGTGTATCTCGAGACAGTGGCTGATGTGGCTATACATGGTCAGGCAATGCCAGCTCTAAAAGGAACAGGCTGAGTGAGCCCTCGAGCTGGTGAGTAGAGGAGAAACAGGCCAGCCCTGCATCTTGCTCCAGTGAGGGCAGCCAAGGAGCCCAGGGCATAGGGTCCATGGCAAGGAACAGCTCCAGCTCAGGAAAGGTTAAAGCAAATGTCAGCCCAGGACAGCCATTCCAGTAGGCTAAAGAACGGAGGCATCTGATGCTAATTGAGGAGGCACAGGGCTGTGTTCCAAGATATCCTTGCCAGTGGCTAAGAGAACATGTAGCGGGAAATCTAGGTTAGAGAGAAGGAAAATAAATAACTCCCAAACCTAAAGGACTGGGATTAAAGGCAGGGTTGCTAGGCTGACTGTTACATTACAATCATGACAAAGACCCAATCCCACAGCCAGGGCCAACACAATGGAACAGGAAGTCCTGGGACCCAGGAGTTACTCCTACCATCCCTCAGGGTAAATCCTACCAAATAGTGAGACTGGGGCTGCCCCTGAACCTCCTTTCTAGATCCAGATTAGCTCAGGCACTGGAGGGAGCCTCTCAGTGCAGACAGAGCCCATGAATAGTGGGAAGGCAGATGGGCAGGCACACACTGCCTTCACTCTATTCAGCATTATCCTCATCTCCTAAGTGACTGACAGGAGCCTAGAGACAGCTTCCAGCTGATCTAGTGTCTACTAGGTGACCCTGGTCAGTAGGGGACACACTGTCAAGTGTTCCTTCCACAGTGCCAAACAGAATTACATCATTTTATTGCCAGAATTCCTCTTTTAAAATATAAGCATCCTGATAGGGTGAAAAAAACACAAAATCAATTTTCCATTAACATCTTAGAGTTTTATTAACAAAGATAGGGAGACCTGTCATCTAGGCAGATTCTGAGAGAATCAAAGGTTTAAATCCAGAACATAAATAAAAAGAACTAGGATCAATCACCAAATAAGGCCTTTGAGGCAGCTCAAAATTTACAAGAGAAACACAAAAATTCAACTTACAAACAAAGAGGAAACCAAGAATCTCTGAAAAGACCAAAACAAGAAAGCTTTTTAATAAAATAAAATCAGTTGTTTCTTGGAGAAAGACCTCCCTCTTGGCCAAAGAGAAAGCCATTCCTCCCAAATCTATACAAATTAATTAATAATTACAACCAAAATTATTGTAAAAAATCAGAGGAGGTTGATGTATATACATACATATACAAGCATCACATTTTCCTACAGTCTAGTTCTTCAAAATTCAAAATGTCTTTACAAAAATTTAAATGGACTATTTAAAAGCTTATTAAAATTACTCTATTACAACACTGAAGAAACACTGAGGTCCTGAGAAATAGGCCTCTGGGTCCATTCACATTTTTTACAGGGACATTAAATTGAAGGCACTTTAATTCTGATTTTTTTCCTAAGATTTAAAAAAAAAAGTTTCAATTAAGTCCCATTTAATTTTAGAATTAAAATACAGCCATCAAATTAATTTAAATACACAGTTAAAGGTTTCAAATAAGAGAAGGCTGTTAACTCCTTTAAAATAACATTTCCTCCATCCCTTACATATATATAAAATTATGGCATAGTGAATTTTCTATTATGTATATAGATTGTAAAAGTGATTATGGAATGGAAAACTACAAAGTGAAGAAAGGGATGAAAAACTCCAAATTTAGGGTTTGTCAGTGAGTGGGGGTGGGGGTGGGGGATGAGCTAGGATTGGGAAGTAGTACCAGGGTCCTCAAAGGCAGTGATACTTTCTTTTAACTGAGTGATGGGGAAACAGATGCTCACTGCACCGTTATTCTCCACACCTTACTTATATTACTTATATTTTGTAATCTTATTTAAAATATTCAATAATTAACAATAACTATTTAGAAAGTGAGTTTATGTAATTGTTATCGTAGAAGGTATAGAGACATATGTAAATCAAACTCTCTTCAGAATATTTTTTCAGTAGCAGTGTTACTCAACAGGAAAACAATTAAGAGTACTTAATTTGTGCAGTAGCCAATCTATCATCACATTTGACCACTTCCATATAATTAACAAACAAACATTATTTTTCTAAACTTCAACACAGATACACTAGATTTTTTCCCCACTCTATACTGTTTCGTTCTGCTTACTTTAAAACAAAAAACAACAACAACAAAAAACACCTCTTGTTCCCTCAACTTCTCTGTAACTTTCACCATTTGGTAGAAAAAAAATCTTACTTTTTTTCTTGTTCTCTGAATGAATCTGAAGAAATGACAATAAGGTCATACCTCTATTAAAACATACAAGAGTACTATTTACATCACCAAAATGATTATAAAATTAAAATAAATATTTTGGTAGGAACAGGCTTTTAGTTTGCCTGTTTTGTTGTTTCCAACGATGTGTTGCCAAGAGGAACCTCTAAGTCAAATACCAGGAAAAGACATTGGATACCCTAACATTTCTTTTAACATCTCCCCAATTCTATGTTATTTATTCTGCTTTCAATAAAGTGGTAGAAATGTTTCAGATACTTTAATTTGGCTTTGTTCACGCACCTGGAGTATTTAACTTGGTAAGGGCAATCCAACCTAAGAATCCCTGTGGTCTTCTAAGGTCAGCTATTTTCAGTACTTCAAAAAGCATAAAACATACATTTGCCTGTAATTTGGTCATGGGAGGAAATGAAAATGTTTTTTTCTTTTTCCACTGGGATTTTACTAGGCCTTCCTAAGTTAACTGGTTATCTAATGCTGATCAGATATTCAGACATATGTCATTAATAAAAATAGAGGAATTAATCATGACTACTTAATAAATGTGGTCTGGAAAAATCATTCAAAATATGAGGTCCATGAGGCAAAAACAATAAAAGTGGTCTTTCATTACCGGTATTTGCTTTTTAACCAGATGAACTGGTATTTTAAAAACAGCAATAACAAAGTCTAAGGACCACTGAGTAGAAGTTCTATTACTGCTATCAAAAACTCTAGAGAATGTTGATTTCCTAACTCCGTTAAAAATTTGCAAGTTGACTTTCCTTTTTTTTTGGTCAGTTCAGTTCTCTGCTCCTCAATTTTTGTAAAAAGTATAAATCATGGGAGCTGTTAAGAGGGAGTAAGTATTTCACATCACATCTTCCTGCTACAAACCAGACTAACGGCACTTGGACTATTTCTCTTTTCCATAGCTTCCAACTTTCCTTAAAATCAAAATGAGCCCCTCCACAAATTACTACCCTTACAAGTTAAATATTCTGGGTGTATGAACAAAAACAAATCAGAAAGGATGACTTTAAATCAATAACCTTTAAAAACAAACTAAGCCCATCTTCCAAACAATCCCTACTGGCCACGCAGGACAGCCCAGGGAACAGGTGCAAGGCGTGCCTTCCTAGAGGCTGTCTCCTCCTACAGGAATCTGACCTTTTCCAGCAGGCAGCTCTGGCACCCCATGAAGCAGTTATCAGGAGGCCTAATGCTGCTTTCCCATCTGCACTTTCCAAACGGCTCCTGATGCCAAGGGCTGGGATATGACCTGGCTCTCAGATGAGAACATGCCTCCCAAGCGACTTGCCAAGTTTCCCTGGAAGCATTTCTAAGGAGATTCTCTGAACTCCCTCCTCACCTTCTCAGTCAGTGTTCATTCTTCCTTTCTTCCCCTCACTTCCTAATTCTACCTTCTCAGCCCAGCCCAGCCCAGCCCAGCCCAGCCCTATGATGCTATATGCCTTCAGTCCAAACTCCTTACCCACTTTCGGGAACTGCTGATCCCCTCCCAGCCTAAAATCCCAACTTCAAATCCAAAGGCCATAATTCAACAATTCTGGAGCTGGTTTGAAGCGATCTTTTTGAGGCCTACCTGCAGGCAGCTCAGGTATGGCTTCTTCTCTAGCCTTCTCCAGCTTCTCCCTGACCCAGGGAAACTCCTGCAGGGAATCTAGGAATGCATCAAATGCTTTAGGGCCTCTGGAGGGAAGGATATCCAGCAGCATCATTGTTTTCCGAAGGCCTGTGGTTTGCGCTTTGATTTCTTGAACATGGTTTTCCGTCAAGACCCCTTCCTGGTAAAGATACTGAAGAACCAATCCCTCCACCAGCACCTCTGCACCCAGCTCCAGGCGAAGGGAGCGAAGCACTTGCTTGTCTCTAGCCTCCATTTCCCCCTGGGAAGAGACAAAGTTGTGGTTCAGATTACAGGAATACGATGAGCCCTTAAAGCTACTGCCCTTAAGGAAATGGACATCTTTGACCCTCACCAGAGTGTCCGGCCGTGGTGTTTAATACATGGCTGTTAAGCCAAACCTAATTAATTTCAAGTGTTTCTGAACGTAGTGAACAACACTGAACGTGAATCGTCTTTTCCGGTTTTGCTTTCTACACACGGGGGTCCTAGCTCAATTCCTCGTTCCATAAAGAGATTTGGGGGAAAGTGGGTCAGAGTCGCTGCTTAAAAAGCAGCTTTTATCTGAGTATTACAGAGCGACCTTTCATTTTAACACAGCTCAGAAGCAGCGGGGGTCCTGCTCTAACACTGCGG